GCTTAAGCCCGCTTTTTCCTTGATTGCTTGCAAAGGCTATTTACCAAAACACATTGAAATTTATATCACTTCCGTTCGTTCTTTGTTTTACATCTTTCCACCCGCTTAGACATCCCGAAAAGAGGACGAATTGGATAATGTATGGTTCTTTTTCAATCTCCGAATTTCGTTCAAAATTCCACTTAAAACAGGATAAGTGTTAAGTCGATATTCATACTTACTTTAGCAGGGAGCTCCATCCACAATGAAGTTCGGCTTTGTGTTATCAAAATAGCAACGGCATAATTAACTTCCAACCAATTTATCATGGGTACAAAGCACAGGTGCATCACTTGAACATTAGCTAAGAATACGTGGATGAAAATTATCTCCAAAGAGTGTCCTTTGGTGAAAGTCAAGAGTAAAAGAGACTGAATCACAATTAAAATCTTAAATCAAAAAAAGAGAAAACAAAAATAACAATGACAGTGACCCTGAGGGAACGAAGGATCAGGTCTAGAGAAAGTTCTCGCCTGGCTGTCGAAAAATTATCTCCCAAAAATTACTGCAGCTATTATCAAGTAGGTAAGATTTGACTGGATCCATTTAAGCCAGGATTTATTGCCCCTCTAGAAACTAAAGCAATAGTTGGTCACTGTTCTATGCCATTTTAAAGCTTATGTCATCAAAATATACTCTTTTAAAGATAAAAGAGAAAGTGACTATATATTTTGCTTGATTGATCTTGAATTTAATTATGACATCTACCCGGATTTTCAAGTCATCTCTCTGACAATAGCCACCCGTGGGAGCGAAATGTGCAGGTTAGACTTATTCATTCCGGTCTATAAATACGTGCTTGCATGGGAAAAAGACAGTATAGAGGCATAGCCATTTTCCTATGTGTTAAGTGTTAATTGAATACCCTCCTACATACCGTCGAGTAAAATAAGCGGAATATCCCCTGGATATATAGACCCACGCCCTCAGAGAAGTTTAGGCAGTGCAACTGACACCTGCATCCCCTTCCGTCATATCCTCCCAGCGTTGATTAATCAACATGTTCATCAGGTTTACTCACTTTCTTTCAGCGGAATTGGATGTCAGGATCTTTTTCTTTGTCATAACTCATTACCATAAGTAATTATGGCATAGGGTAGGTTATTACTAATATCAACGGAGAACCGTTGAAACCAGTTTTTTATTCTACTGTTGAGTTAACATCTTGCATTTAATACACCGGCGATGGAACCAACTTTTATCTTTAAGACTTCTATCAAGAAACAAACACTTAAAAAGCAGTTCAAGAGATCATGGGCTCTTATAAAGCGTGGACATTGATATCCTGTTTCAAACTTCATCATATCCATCGCAGAAACGGAATTATAACGACGTCATCTAAAGAGGCGATCAATTGGATGGATTCTTTGTAAATTTTCAGAGCACTTCTCTTTTAAAAAGGAGTTTTTAGAGTTGTATAGGACTGGATTGGCCCGACGGTTTGGTGAATTGTTTCAGCCAAATGAAAAAAAGCAAACATCTGAAGCTCGTATCAGTCTCTGGTTTTTCTAGAAATTGAAATTTAGCTGAATTCACAACGGGCCCTCTATCATATCACCTTGTATTTGATCCATTTTGTTACCGCCTCATATTCCACCCAAGCCATAAAAACGGAATAAAACGATTTAAAAGTTGGAAAACATCTTAATTGTCCTCGTGGCTAGATAATTTCTTACTTGTTGGGTATTCTCTTCTCTTTTGTATAGATTCCCCGATGCCCGTGAATGATGGCAAGCCATTGCTGCCACAAAAATGGTGAGTTCCCTATTGGTCAGGATATCTTCAAACGATCACTATAAAACTACAATAACATGACGAATTTGCCTTTTCAATTCACAGAATCAACCAAAATGTATCTTTACCGAGACAGCTTTGTGAGGAATTCTGATTATCCTTACTATCTGCCTATAATAATCTGCAAAATTGGCATTCCTTGCAATTTCAATGCAAATTTTAGGGCTGTCTTCGGCTTAAAAAGTTGAAAAATAATCTTCTTTTGAGCTAACTATACTAGCATCAACCAATATGCAGAAAATACCGCTTCTCAAAAATAATGTCACGACACTGAAAGGCAGACTGGACGCCCCTTTCAATATTTCACTAAAATGTAATTACCACTCTTTAGAGGGAAATCTTTCTTAAGAATTATTGAATAATCTTGTTAATTATAAGCCTCTATGTAAAAGTAGTAATAGGAAATTTCTTCTAGAAATCAGAGTCTTAGTAAACTACATCGTACTTGTTTAGATTTTTTTTTCGATACACTTATCCTTCATTTTTACGATTGAGTTAATCTGCCGAATCACCTTAGTACTGCCTTCTATGTTTGTATGTATTGGCATTTAGAATTTCAGTTTTTTTTATTCTTTTCTCTTCGGCTGTTTTCTTCTGCACTTAACGTGTGTCTCAGCTTGACCTTTGATGTTGCAATAGGAAAGAAAGAAAAAAACACACAACGGTAACCCCAAAAACTGCCAAGACTTGTACTTTTTGTCTATGTTTCATCGGGCAGAGTGCGTGGACACATTTATTACTCATAACCGATAAAGCGGCAAATTTGAACTTAACTTCGCTCTTTTTTATAGAACCCTAAATAAGAGAAGCCAAAATTGGCCTACTAGGCTTCATAAAACTCACTTTCTGAGTTTTACAAGTGCTAGCTTTTAAATCAACGCGCGATTGAAGATTAAAGATGTATCTACAATTTGCACTTAAAATAAAGGACACCTACGAGGTAGAGGAATTATTCTTTTGCACCAGGAAGAGTCTAGAAAGTATACAAAATTCGGTCATTTTTATAGCTAGTATGAAAGTCGTTTTTAAGATCGACTCTCTCTAAATCCTTACTACTCACCAAAAATCAACGCAAGGCAAATGCAGATTGATCTTTCCTTAAACAGAATCAGTTTTAATTTTGAAAATTGGTCATCAGGAACCAGTTTCCTTTTCAGTTTGAAAATTTTCAGTCTCAGTCAAACTATTTTGTTCTCAGCTGCAACATAGACAAATTGTTTACTTAGGTAACTTGGAAAGCGTTTTTATTTACCTTTTTTCCTCATTAAGATGATTTATTATTTTCCTACGTCAATATCAAAAATCAAACTGCTTTCGCACATTTTGTTCACGTCAGCCTCAGTAAGCCAAAAATTGATAAACGGAAAATCTTGCATTGACATAGAAGTCTTACAAAAAAGAAAAAAAAGGACACAAAATTATAAATGATAAATCAAGGATGGATAAGTAAAATTTAGCACTATAATAGGGCCTGAAAACTGTTCAATTCAAGTCTGAGTTGGTTGAGGTAAAAACGAACAACAGAACACATGGCGATATGCAAATTTAACATACCCTTTTTGCACTAAAAAAAAAAAACATCTGCTACTCCGCATCATGTTCCTCTGAGAGCAATGGTGGATAGAATTATGCGACTTAAGGGAAGTTTTCCTCCTCTCGTTGTTCAGTTCCAGCGCATCATCTCTGAAGACCTTGATAAAACTGAGCAACGAGAATGTTTTGCCAGGACTTCAAAAATACAAGATTTTGAATCCCTTTTACTCGTTTCTTATCTTTCTACTTATAGACATCCCAAGAAGGGAACGAAGAAGATCAGGTATGCTTCTTGTTCAATCTCCTATCTTAGGACTACATTCAATTCAAAACAGGGTGGGTGGTCCCGAGCAAGTAGAAGATGACTAGTGTAATCTAATTCAGTTTAGCTTTTATAAAATAAAATAGGAAAGCAACGAAGTGTCGATAAAAGATGACCTTTTACAACACAACCAACGTAAAGCATGCCCCCTGGTTGGTTAATTCACCGTCTACTATTTACCCATGGGTTTACTCTGCTGCTGTAAGCAAATACCATGATTTGTGATTTGTCGATATACGACACACTGTGATGTGTTAGATAAAATTAAACACACAGAAAGATAGATCGAAGTATTGTTAACATTAAAAGAATTAAAACAGTGAGGAAACAGGTATTTTATCTTATTACCTATTTTATTTGGATTAATCACCAACTGTAGTGTTTTCTACTGCGAGAATATTTGTTATATGGTTTGAGTAAAAAATGTAGCACGGCTACAAAATATCTAGCCTTCTGATTGGCTGAACGGAGCCATATTATGAGCTTGTAAGCTAGCTCCGACAAATATAGTCAATGAATTCGTCAGCAGAGAGAAAGAAAATATCTGTGAGCGACCCGTGAAGTAATGACAGAAAAAGATCAGTTTGCCCCAAAGCTTACAACTAAAGAAAAAACAAAACTCCCACTTTCAAAAAAAGAGCCATCTATTTCGGAAAATTTAGCAGTTTTATTTGCTAAATGCGCTACATGATTTGTGTTGATTTAATGATAACATTTGCGGTAAGCAAAAGTTAATTATCTTTCTGACCTTGCAGAGTAGCTAAATAGTCCCAGTATAAACAAATTCAAATCACTCATTAAAGAAATGATGACTGAAGAGCTGAATTTTTGCTCTTTATTTTTTCTTTTTGCAAGCATGCGAGAAACTTCGACGGCAAATCTAAAGAAAAAAAAAAAACAGCCTTTAGGCTTTAGGCGTCTTTCGTTGTAAACCGAAAAGTCCAGAAGCTAACAATTATCTTTCATGAATCTTTACTTGAACATACGTTGAACTTTAATAATGCAAATCTTTCAGCATCCTTTAAGTAGTCTCTTTTTTTTGCACAAAAGAGGGTGTTTAATCAATATACAATTAATTTAACTTTATGGTGAGAATTAAATAAGTCTCGCTTTTTTGACATCATTAATTGACACACTAAAGATAGTCTTATTGTAATCTGAACTGTCAATAGGAAATGCATGACAAATTAGCCAACACTTGCATAGGCCAGGAATAGCAAATTTTGTTTATGTGCAGCAGCAAATTTTGTCGAAATTAATATCTGACTTGAAATCGACGTGTTTTCATTTTCGCATCTCCTTCAAAGAACGCATGGAGTGCGATGACAAGAAGGGATACATTTACTGCGCTCATTGTAATGACTTCGTATCACGTTCAACTTTCGAAGCACATGAGCGAAAACGTAACGAGACGAACTTAGCAGACACTTTTAAGGCGACTTCAAATTCCCAGGATTTGTTTCACGAAATTTCAATTTCATCTGAGGATGAAGGTTAGTTACCTTGAATATAAAAGAGTGACACATATATATGTTATATGCTATATCTATACATCTTTATCATTGCATGAGAACGTAACTGCTATTCAACGTTACTTGAGGCGATAGACCTCTGCCAACTAATTTTTTTCTTTTACACCAATTCCATACAGGACCCACAGATTTTGTTCAGGAAGAGCGTCTTGTAATTGACGCAGAAGTAGATAGCTCTTGATAAAACGCTAAGCAAGTGAGAAAGGAAGAACGTGGAGTTTGTACATTAAATTGTATCATTTAAATTGTCAAACGGAAAATATTGGGCATATGGCATAAACTGACCAAGATGTTAAAAAAAAACAAGCTTGTAGTTAACAAACAGGGCACTTTTGCAACAACTATGTTACCAACTAATGATCTTTGTTTGTTGTCTGATGTTGCCGTTAATTTGTTTGTTTGTTTTTTTCGTTACCATAACCCTTAAAAGTACTTTATTGAGAGTTGAAACATTCGTTCTGAAAACTTCCTGTCTTTTATATAGCCGACGGACTTGCCTGAATCCGACGTAGCATACTCTAACAGCGACAATGAATATGGAGGTCTAAACAGTACCAATGATGGACACCGGAGCGACTGCTGCAGTTCAAGCTCTGACGGTGGTATGGAATGGTGTGCACCCTGAGATAACGTCGAGAGATTTAGAAAACGCCCCGCCCCTTCCGGAAGCTAAAGGCCGCCAAAATTCATTAATTTTTTGGTTCGTTTATTTTCTGCTAATCTGGTAGGCGACTTGCCACCTGGCCTGGGTTGTTATAGATAACCCAGAGTTAGTCTGAAATTTGATTTCAGGTCTGAAAGCTTTAAAAGAAAATGCAGTTCAAATCTTTTTGCTTGCAATCTGATCACTAGATGTTCTAACGAGAATAGGGAAAACTGTCTCTAAAAGGTTTTTGAACGAAGGAATAAAGAAACCTGGATTACAATTTACTCCTGAGTTAGCGCTAGTCGGCCCTCGAACAAATGGGCCCAGAGCGATAATGGTCTCGCTTGGTTGCTCAATTTCTTTGTCTCGTGGCCAGGGGTTCTTGGCTTAGAAATTTCCGATGAGGCTTTTGACAAATTAGTGATGAGCCTTTCTGGATCCTTTTACCTTTTGAGGCAATTTTTAAATGTTGATAGAGATGATTTCAATAAGATTGTGGTTTGTCCAAAGTGTACAAAACTGTATAAGTACGACTCCTGAATTTCGATGATAAACAATCGACAGGTGGCAAAAAAATGTAGCGACACTCATTACTCCAGAGGAAGAAAACTAACTTGTAATGCCACTCGTGACAAAGGTTACTCTTCATAATGGAAAAACTTGCTTCTACCCCACCAAGTACTACTGCAGCAACAGCATCATAGACGAACTGGAGAAGTTGGTCTTGAGAAAAGACTTTCCCATAAATTGCGAAGTGTGGAGAAAACGAAAAGTGGGATCAAATACCTTAGCTTTTTTTTTTATGGAAATCTATGGAAAGAATTCCAGAACGTCAGTGATTCCCCTTTCTTGAGTAAACCACGAAATTATGGGTTTATATTGACCTTTCACTTTTTCCAGCCGATGAACACTGTAAGGATTATTCCGTCGGAGTGTTTTACTTGGCAATTTTAAAGCTACCTAGGTCTGAACGGTTCAAATGGGAGAATATCGTTTTTGTAGGCGTTGTTCCTTCATTGAGCAGAGAACCCAAAGATTGAAATAAATTTCTTGAGTCAGCAGTGAATGAGTTGAAAGCCTTGTGGAAAGGGGTCAAGATCAAAGCTAACCTTAGTAGATTTGCTCTAATGTTTCGTGATGCCGTTTTGTGTGTATATACTGACGTTCCTACGACTAGAAAGATCTGTGGATTCAAGGGGCATTCAGCTCAACTTGGCACGTTGAAGTTTTTAGGTGGTTTTGGGGAAAGAGAGATTACTCTGAATTCAAAAGAAGCTTATGGAAACCTCGCACAAATGAAGAACATCGTCGAATAGCCATTACTCAGTGCAAAACAAAAGCGCGACGAAATTTTCTGGGGCAACAAAGTGGAATCACCTAGTATAGCATTTTACTGCGACTCGATTACCTTGATGTTATTAGATTTTGCACGGTTGATCCTATGCACAATCTCTTTCTCGGAGCTGTCAAAAGAACGTTCAAACTATGGACATACTCAAAACTTTTTTCGCCCAGCCAACTGAACGAAATCGAGGAAAGAATAAAATCATTTGAGGTTCCTAGTGACATTGGACGATTACCGATGAGGATAACGAGGAATTGTGGTTCATATGCAGCAGAGCAGTGGAAGAACTGAACACTCATTTACTCTAATTTCTGCCTTCAAATTATTCTACCAGAGGAACATTTCCGTTGCGGGCAGACATTTGTGTTTGTATGTAGATATATTTTGCAAGTCTGCTACTACAAAAACAGAACTTGACATTGTCGACGGATTGATTCTTCAATTTTGCATGTCAGTGGAAACTCTATATGGAAAAGATGCCATTACCCAAAATATGCACATGCACAACCATTTGAAAGAGGTTATTCTCGACCACGGACCAGTTACTAGCTTTTGGTGTTTTAGCTTTGAACGATTTAGTGGAATACTAGGCAGTATAACAACAAACAAGAGATCTGTCGAACTCCAAATCATGAGAAAATTCATACTAAGATTCCCAAAGGACATAAAACTACAGTTTAAAGGAGATTTTAAATTTCGTTCACCTGATGTTTCACCTTCCGACTGGCTTACGATCTATGAATTTTCTTATATTGCAACAAATGTGCCACTACGTGGAATAAACTTGTTGAATAAATCGGAGATTAGTGTTTCGCCATGTTACAAGCTTGTTTCTTTTGATACCGATGATTTGAAATTACTGACCGCTGTCTACAAAGCGTTGTACCTTGAGGGGCGAATTGAAGCAAGTCAACTCACAGAAACTATATATAAATTTGGCTCGTTTAAAATCTGGTTACCTACGTATGGGTCCAAAATACAAACAAGAGGAATACGTTCTGCCAAGATACTAGCATTTTGGCCAGCAAAGAATGAAAAAGTCCTTCAAGACGCGTTTTTTATCTCCAGGCATCGTTCAGTATTATTTTACACATTCATTCAAGCTAGGAGAGGAACATGTCACGCACTACTTTGCTTGTTTAAGATGGTTTTTTAGCCCGTAAGGAATCTTATTTTGCAAACCCAATTAAAATCTACAAAAATAAATTCCTTCCAGTATTATTGTCAAACATTGACATAAAATTTAAAATCATCCAACCACTAACTAATGAAAACTATGGGCGGCCGTCACCACCAAAAATACAAGGATGTCAAATAGATCAGCAAATACAAAAACGGTGTAAGGATCAGCTGCAGGATAGAATAGCTAATAAAGGAATGGCATGGCCAAATTATAGACGGTTTAGTTTTCCCTCATGAAACAGAACACCCTAAAAATGGATAGTTTAGCCAAATGATAAACGGTCTAGTTGCCCATGTCGAGTTGGAACATAAAATTGTGAAATGGAGTAAATCAATTAAGAATAGCTTAGCATTCATGTGCAATACAGTACTGAAACGGTGTAGCGTTGCGTCAAATGGCTCAGGGTAACGTCGAGTAACACAGCGTACGCACAAACGGTATAGCGTTGCGTGAAATGGCTCAGCTTAATGTAGAATGATACAGCGTACACACATGTGGTGCAGCGCTGCGTGAAATTGGCTCAGCGTAATGTCGAATGGTACAGTGTACATGCAAACAGTGTAGCGTTGCGTCAAGTGGCTTAGCGTTATGTCGCATGGTACAGTGTACACACAAATGGTGTAGCGTTGCGTGAAATGGCTCAGCGTAATGTAGAATGGTACAGCATAAACACAAATAGTGTAGCGTTAGGTCGAATAGCTTTGCAGAACATCAGACGCTCTATCTGAACATTAAATTGCTTAGTATTACTTGAAATATTTCGATGTTGTGGCGAATCGTCGAGCTTGCTTGTGGCGTGACGTGAAGGCCATGCCATTCCTTTATTAGCTATGCTATCCTGCAGCTGATCCTTAAGCCATCTTTGTATTTGCTGATCTATTTGACATCCTTTTATTTTTTGTTGGTGGTGACGGCCGCCAAGGCTATCTCGCCGAAACCACCAAAAACAGAAACCGCAAATGGAACAGCGATCTGCTGGGGGCATGACGTCATCGAATGTGAAGACTGCCGCGAAACCATCACATGGCGTAGTCGCTGTATTGAATAGTCTTCACTTATCTTTGCCGTAAAGCAGAGCCAATTCGGTAAGTCTCTCCTCTTTTTTCCCCGCCGATATTGTATTTATTCGTTGTCGTTCATGAAAGCGTCGTGTTGGTGGGCCTGAATATGTGTATAGTATTAAGTAGTGTTATGACGTGCATTAAATGTCGATTGTCGAGCTCTCTTTTCTTTCTCTGACTCACGCTTACTTTTCAACGAGAGTTCAACTTCAACGGCTCTTTGAACACTGGAGGAGTACATGAGAAGTTTAATTTTGTGTGTGCCCTGGACGCCATGGTACGAAAACTGATATCCTTGATCTGTTTTGACATTTTTCAATCAAAGTGATATTCGGAATGCTTTAATTGGTGTGCCGGACGATAAGAGTAAGCTAGGAGAAGACTGTTTATATTTATTATTTTAAAGAAGTGTACATTATATTGCTTTGTTTATTAATTTTTCCTGAGTGCAGTGATAGTAAAAGTAAGATCTATTTTTATTTTGTCGATCAAAGGTGAATTACATGTCTGGATCGGAAACATTTAAAGGTTTTTTTTCGCGTTCTAAAAATAGTGCTTGCCACAGTAATATTTTTTACTGAGTTGGTTTAGCGCGCATACATACCTATCTTCCCTGTGCTCTTTCCCATTCCGTAGTCATCACGTATTAAGGAAGGCTAGTGCGGACACCGTAATGCACGTAGTTGTACGTAATTGTCCAAATCTAGGTCGAGTTTTACCGTTCGATCTGTTACGGTCGCAACTTGCTGTGTAAAAACTATTGCATAATTCAGACAATTGACAGGACACCTGGCTGTTTCGTCGTTTGTTTCAGTAGACGTATTTATCTATATTTTTATTTATTTTTACATTCTTTACCTCAACTATTAATTTTTGCTATTATTATTATTATTATTGTTGCTACAGACTGAGTTCGGTACAAACTAGATACATTTACTAGAGTTGCGTGACTTGTGACGTTTCTCTTCTTGCCTTTAGGGTAAGCAAAGAAAACTTCCATTCAAAACGTAATCAACTTACAGGCAAGAGCTTTTAAGCCCCGCCGCAGTGTTTACACAAAATTTTGCATATCAGAAACACACTTTGTATCCTTTAAACAGAGAATTCAAGAAAGCACCGACAAGTGGCATTGGCTTCACTACTGTGTCACAGGGTGCTTGAAATAAAAACTCTTATTTTTGTTGACAGGTTGCAAAACAATCGAGGGTTACCTTGTTTCCCAAGGTGTACGTGTGCAGAGGTGGAGACTAAGGAGTGCCATAAAGAGAGTCGATCACATTGGTAGGAGGCTAAGGTCTATGAATGCCATCCGTAGACACGTGTATAACGTACTTTCCCCACTAGCCCTCTGGCATATGGACGGGGATCACAAACTGATACCTGTCACCTATCTCACTATTTTGATGACATATTTGTTGCTATAATTTAGATCTCAATAACTTTGCACCATTTGTTTTAGGAGCAACCTCCCCCCCTCCCCCCTTCACAAGCTATTAACATATACTTTCGGTTTGCCACTCTATTCCTTCTCTTCTTAGATGGTGATTCGTGGTTCACGGCTGTATTGACGGTTACAGTCGCTCCGTCGTTTACCTTAGGTGCGATACGAATAACACGTCTGACACAGTATTGCGTTTCTTTGAGGGTGCGGTGTCTGAATGGGGATTGCCATCACGAGTCAGGGGCGACATGGGAGTTGAAAACAGAGACGTGGCACATGTTGAGCCATATAGCGAGAGGGCCCAGAAGAGGGAGTTACATCACCGGACGAAGTGAGCACAACTCGCGTATAGAAAGACTCTGGCGTGATTTGTACAAGTTAGTCC